TGATATGGTACTACAAGGTCATTAAGATAAGATGGGGCCTGATTATTTAAGACCTTGTATGTGAGGAGCAGGATTTTGAATTCAATTCTGGATTTAACAGGAAGCCAATGAAGGGAAGCCAAAACAGGAGAAATATGCTCTCTCTTTCTAGTCCCTGTCAGGACTCTTGCTGCAGCATTTTGGATTAGCTGAAGGCTTTTCAGTGAGTTTTTTGGACATCCTGATAATAATGAATTACAGTCGTCCAGCCTGGAAGCAATAAATGCATGAACTAGTTTTCCAGCGTCACTCTGAGACAGGATATTTCTAATTTTAGAGATGTTGCGCAAATGGAAGAAAGCAGTCTTACATATTTGTTTAATATGTGCATTGAAGGACATGTCCTGGTCAAAAATGACTCCAAGGTTCCTCACAGCGTTACTGGAGGCCAAGGTAATGCCATCCAGAGTAAGAATCTGGTTAGATACCATATTTCTAAGCTTTTCAGGGCCGAGTACAATAACCTCAGTTTGATCTGAATTAAGAACCAGAAAGTTAGCGGCCATCCAGGTCTTTATGTCTTTAAGACATTCCTGCAGTTTAACTCATTGGTGTGTGTTATCTGGCTTCATGGACAGATAGAGCTGGGTGTCATCTGCATAGCAGTGAAAATGTATGCTATGTCTTCTAATGATGCTGCCTAAGGGAAGCATGTATAATGTAAACAGAATTGGTCCTAGCACTGAACCCTGTGGAACTCCATAATTAACCTCAGTGTGTGAAGAGGACTCTCCATTTACATGCACAAACTGGAGTCTATTAGATAGAGACAATACAAACCACTGCAGTGCAGTACCTGTAATACCCACAGCATGTTCTAATCGCTCTAATAGGATATTATGGTCGACAGTATCGAACGCTGCACTGAGGTCTAGCAGGACAAGCACAGAGATGAGTCCACTGTCAGAGGCCATAAGAAGATCATTTGTAACCTTCACTAAAGCTGTTTCTGTGCTGTGATGAGCTCTGAAACCTGACTGAAACTCTTCAAATAAACCTCTGCAGATGATCTGTTAGCTGTTTGACAACTACTCTTTCAAGGATGTTTGATATGAAAGGAAGGTTGGAGATTGGCCTATAATTAGCTAAGACTGCTGGGTCTAGAGATGCTTTTTGAGTAAAGGTTTAACTACAGCCAGCTTGAAGGCCTGTGGTACATAGCCGATCATTAGAGATAGGTTGATCATATTTAAGATTGAAGAATTAATTAATGGCAGGACTTCTTTGAGCAGTTTTGTAGGAATGGGGTCTAAAAGACACGTTGATGGTTTGGAGGAAGTAATTATTGAAGTTAACTCAGAAAGATCAATTGGAGAAAAAGAGTCTAACTTAACATCAATGGTACTAAGAGTAGCTGTAGATAATATTACATCTGTGGGATGATTACTGGTAATTTTTCCTCTAATGATAAGAATTTTATTTGTGAAGAAGTTCATGAAGTCATTACTAGTTAACGTTAAAGGGATGGTTGGCTCAACAGAGCTCTGACTGTTTGTCAGCCTGGCTACAGAGCTGAAGAGAAACCTGGGGTTGTTCTTATTTTCTTCAATCAGTGATGAATAGTAAGATGTTCTGGCTTTGTGGAGGGCTTTCTTATAAAGCAGCAAACTATTTCTCCAGGCTAAATGATGATCCTCTAAATTTGTGACACGCCATTTCCTCTCCAGATTACGAGTCGTCTGCTTTAGGGTACATGTTTGAGAATTATACCACGGAGTCAGGTACTTCTGATTAGAGACCTTAGTTTTCACAGGAGCTACAGTATCCAGAGTCGTACGTAGTGAGGAGGTAAAATTATTAACAAGATGATCGACCTCTGTTGGGGTAGCGTTCAGATAGCTGCTCTGCTCTGTCTTAAAGACATAAAGACCTGGATGGCCGCTAACTTTCTGCTTCTTGATTCAGATCAAACTGAGGTTATTGTTTTCAGCCCTGAAAAGCTTAGAAATATGGTATCTAACCAGATTCTTACTCTGGATGGCATTACCTTGGCCTCCAGTAACACTGTGAGGAACCTTGGAGTCATTTTTGACCAGGACATGTCCTTCAACGCACATATTAAACAAATATGTAAGACTGCTTTCTTCCATTTGTGCAACATCTCTAAAGTTAGAAATATCCTGTCTCAGAGTGACGCTGAAAAACTAGTTCATGCATTTATTACTTCCAGGCTGGACGACTGTAATTCATTATTATCAGGATGTCCAAAAAACTCACTGAAAAGCCTTCAGCTAATCCAAAATGCTGCAGCAAGAGTGCTGACAGGGACTAGAAAGAGAGAGCATATTTCTCCTGTTTTGGCTTCCCTTCATTGGCTTCCTGTTAATCCAGAATTGAATTCAAAATCCTGCTCCTCACATACAAGGTCTTAAATAATCAGGCCCCATCTTATCTTAATGACCTTGTAGTACCATATCACCCTATTAGAGCACTTCGCTCTCGCTCTGCAGGCCTACTTGTTGTTCCTAGAGTATTTAAAAGTAGAATGGGAGGCAGAGCCTTCAGTTTTCATGCCCCTCTTCTGTGGAACCAGCTTCCAGTTTGGATTCGGGAGACAGACACTATCTCTACTTTCAAGATTAGGCTTCAAACTTTCCTTTTTGCTAAAGCATATAGTTAGGGCTGGACCAGGTGACCCTGAATCCTCCCTTAGTTATGCTGCAATAGACGTAGGCTGCCGGGGGATTCCCATGATGCACTGGGTGTTTCTTCTTCACTCACTATGTATTAACAGACCTCTCTGCATTGAATCATATCTGTTATTAACCTCTGTCTCTCTTCCACAGCATGTCTTTTATCCTGTCTTCCTTCTCTCACCCCAACCAATCACAGCAGATGGCCCCGCCCCTCCCTAAGTTCTGCTGGAGGTTTCTTTCTGTTAAAAGGGAGTTTTTCCTTCCCACTGTCGCCAAAGTGCTGCTCATAATTGAATTGAAATACAAGCACACACACAGATGAATCGACAGAGACATGCACCCCCACCTGTACTGATACCTCCACATTCACACAAATCTAGGCTCAGCATATGGTTCTGGTATTCATAAAGTAGGTCTAATGTACACAGTTCAATGTTGTTATAATATGTGAACATACGTGTTGACATATGTGTGATCTGTGACCTTTGGAGTGCGCATGGCGCCTAGATGTCTGCCGTATATGGACAAGGGAGCCTTCCCTTCCAGAGGGCCACCTTAAGTACGAACAGATGTGGGAGCTGTGACATACAAATGGAGTCAAGAGTGTTGTTCTTCTTGTTGAGGATGGACATCAGCCAACTGCAAACATCTTCTTAAATTCAGTTGTGTAAATCCACAAAGAGGAGCAGGTCAGCTGATCGCAGCCTGCACACAAAGCAAACCCAGTGGAGCTTATTATGAGAAGTGACTGTGAGTTGCGATTCTTTTCTCTAAGCTGAGCCACTGTACAGAACTTATGGTTCCCTAACCTGCTGACTCCTACTGTAACCCCTGACTGAACTCATTTTACTGTTTATGTGTGGAGGCAAAGGCCCCTCTTAAATGCAGGCAACAGAAAATAGTTATTTAAAAAAATGATCTTTTTCTGCATGTCTCTTACATAACAGATGACTGAGTACTTTCATTAGAATAAGAGTAATATTTGTACTATCGTCAATTTTACTTCATTATTATATTAATGTAGCACAAGGTTCAGTTACCCTTGTAACATATGGTTAGTAGATTGTCCTTCCTGAGAAGAAGGGACAATTGATATGCTGGACAAAGGATGTTGAATATGGAGCTGTCAGGCAGGAGGAGAAGAGGAAGGGCCCTAAGGGAGCAGGCAAAAAAAGAAGGATTTAGGGTTGCTTTCTGACCGACTGTGTGCTTGGAAGACTTCTGCAGCAGCTCCTGGAGTTTCTGGTACTTTGTGTTTTTCTTAATAGTTTGTTTTTTTCATGCTAAGCGGTCACTCTGTATTCACATACACTTGGGACCAGCTACTAGTGCTCTCCAAAACAAGCTGCTGTCCGGAGCCAGACTGGTCATCTAGCAGAAACTCAAGAGGAGACACTGCAGGTGCCGGGTGGAGGAAGAGTTAAAGCAACGAGAAGGACATGTAAACTCCATTTCACTGGGCATCATGGGGAACATGAGGTCTTTGGCTAATAAGATGGATAAATTCAGCTTTTTCAGTGTTCGGGTTGACGGACATGCCAAGATGAATGGTAAGAAAAAGACTGGAGGGATTGAAGTATTTGTTGAAGAAAGGTGGTGCAGTTCAATCCATGTTACCATGAAGGAACAGCTTCCCCCGCCTGACATTGAACAAACTAATCCATAAGGCTGGAACCATCACTGGTCAGAATTTGGAGGCTTTTGAGTCAGTGAGTGATAGGAGCTCACTAAACAGACTTCTTTCCATCATGGATAATCCACCTCACCTGCTCCACTCCATACTTCTGAGGCAGCAGAGCTACTTTTACCTTACACTGATTCGACCCTACTACCAAAAAGAATGCAGGAAATCATTCCTACTGTTCTATATCAAACTGCATAATAACTCCGTATACCCTCTGCAGCCCGAGACTTCGAGGACACCAGAACGCATGAGCATCGTGATCGTGTCGAACCTGAGCCACCAGCATCCTGTGAGCCCTGTACTGGCCAGGCCTTTGCTACGAGCCTCCTGCTCTGCTCTAACATATGGATGGATGGGAGTTAACTTTAAACTAGATTTTACTCCAATACACACATGGACAGCTGGAGACCCAATAGCTGAGTTGACATTCCTGTTATACTCCTTTGATATTCTCAACTTGGGGAACATGCATCGTTGGAGCATTGTAATGTAAATTCTCTGAGGAGGAATCACTGCCTGATAGCAAAATTTACATTACCAGGTCCCAAGCAGACTCACAGATGCAGAATGAACTTTAGAATGAACTCCAGACTTTTTACTGATCTAATTTAAGAAGAAATTTACACTAAATGAACAGACTGTGGCTTTTCAAGTGGTTTTAATATATCGTATTAAATTATTGTACTAAACAAATTAGGTACACCAGTTAAATTGCTTGTTAACACAAATGTCAATCACATGACAGCAACTCAATGCATTCAGACATGCAGACACGATCAAAGCAACCTGCTGACGTTCAAGCTGAGTTCAATCAGAATAAGGAATGAAATGGTTAAAGTGTCTCTGAAAGTGGTATGGATGATGGTGCCACACAGACTGGTCAAAGTATTTCAGAAACTACTGATCTACTGGGAGTTTTTCTCACATCTGTCTGTACGAATTACAGATAATGATCATAAAAAGAGAACATATTCTGAGTGGCAGTCCTGTGGGTGAAAATGACTTGTTGATGGTAGATGTCAGTGGAGAACAGCCACACTGCTGATATGGAAAACACAGCTTCCAAGATTCAGTTATCTGAGTGAAATTCTATTATTTTCTTTAGCGTTACCCATCAGCAGGTATTGGTCTGTATGTGATTAACCCATACAATCTATAGATACACCTTGCTATCCAGGTTAGCTAATTCAATTCAAATTGTAATTTAAATTAGCTCAGTGATTGTTTTCCTTTTCTTTGTCCTGTTGTTCATTATTGTGCATCCTGTTGATCTCAGTCCTTCAGTGCAGGTTGGTCTTCCTTCCATCTTGTTTCTCCAGTGACAGCCATCATCTGCCTTTTCTTATCTGGGACTGAAAAAAAAATCAAAATGAAACTAAAAAGACACAAAAATTTGAAACATTAAATGATAAGTTTATTCATTTTAAGATTACCTACAAATTTAGCTTGTTGGCTAACACTTTATACCCAACACTGTATAATAATGACAAACTATTAAGGGATTAAGCATTAGTACAGTATCAGTAAGTGCTTAATTCATTGTTTAAAAAACATTACTCCTCAGTATGTAATTTATAAATGTTTATGTTTAGGCTGTGTAAAATGCTCAGGAGACAATTCTGCACATAACAGCAGGGTGCAAGGTGCTAGCAGGCACGGCATAAATCGAATGCCATAACCAAGCAGCCAGCATAGTGTACAGGGACATCTGTGCTGAGTACGGTTTGCAAGTACCAAGGTCAAATGAGACCGCTAGAGTGGAAAAGACCGGCTTATCTGTGGACAGGACAGACGGACAGACAGACAGACAGACAGACAGAAGACAGACAGACAGACAGACAGACAGACAGACAGACAGACAGACAGACAGACAGACAGATAGATAGATAGATAGATAGATAGATAGATAGATAGATAGATAGATAGATAGATAGATAGATAGATAGATAGATAGAATTTCACCATAAACTGACCATGACCAGGGGCTCCCACAAGATTTCAGTCAGAGAAGTGAAAAGAATGATCAGAAAAGTTGTCCAAGAACAAGGAGAGCTACAGAAAGAATTGGAATCAAAGAAAACAATAAGCAATGCACTCAATGCATATGACTCCATACTGAAGACATGTTGAAGCTTTCATCACTCACAAAGGCTTTTGTCCAAAGTATTAAATATATTTCAGTAAATGTGCTCAATGTTTCCCTGTGATGTTTTCTAAATATTACACATAATTTGATTTGTGGATATCTATGGTTGATTTTTTTGCATGTGTGGAATGGATTGGTTATTACTGACATCTGGTGAGAATGTCATGTCAAAAGCACCTTTAGAAATATGTTTATTTTGAAAGTTGGTGACGTGCTTATTTAACCCACTGTATCAATGTACATCTAAATTGTTTGTTAATTACTTCTCTTACTTATGCTTAACAGCGTGTCAATATTATAAAATCTTACCACTTGTTTAAACTTTCCAGTATGTTGTGAAAAATGTTTTCACAGGATTGTGTAGAGTCCTGTGTAAAAGACCATGTGATTCAGTAGCTTATTGAACCACCGTTAGCAGCAATACTCTGAAATAATAAGAGTATTCTTCATTTTTCAAAGGACCACATAGCGTCTTACATAACTTTCTTTTCATATGACTGTACGCTCCGGCAAACACTCCAGAAATACTTTCCCCCTCTGAACTCATGTTACGTTATGAATAGTTGTCTCCTTTTTAATATATATGCAGATACAGCCTGCATCTCTACATGTATGGAACTTTCATAGTATTTTATAAATAGTCAGTTAAGAGTATATATTCAAAGTGTGGTTTAATATATTTTGTCATAATTAAAACAACCATGACAAAAGGGGATAATCAACTTACCAACACTGACACTACACACAAATGTCCACAAATAGTGAATACATTATGAACAAAACAGCAGTAGCAGTAAATTCTCCCAAACAGTGAGGCAACAACAGCAATATAACAGTAATTATCAGTGTTTGTTGGCTCTGTTAAATGGACCAATATGAAAAATAGAAAAGGAAACAACGGCTTTTCACCAGGTTTTGAAGCCTGGGTTGTGCAACTAAGACAGATTAGTCTGTCACTGGTACACTGCTTCAGGGGAATTTTGCAACCACAGTGCTTGAACCGTTTGAAAAACATTCACTGGTAACTGGCTGTAATGCTCTTCTTTATGATGAGAGAGATATAGTTAAGGTATTTTCTAGTAATACTAGTAGTACCAGGATTGTTCCTTATTTTTTGTCTGGTATAAAAACCCTTTCTTGCATTTAACAGATCACTGTGCAATCGTCTCAAGGCTATTTAAATAACTTGGAGTTGAAGAAATGTTGAGTTTGTCAGTAATAAGGAAGTGGCCTAATGTTACACAAGCTATTACAACACTTCACACAATGCTGGTACCGCTTAAAGTACAAATCCTCCTTCAGAGCCAATTCCACTGAGCCGTGACCTAAGCCTTATAAATATTAATGTTCCCTCAACATGTTGAACCTTCTACTGCAATATCCCATTTTCAGAAAATGTTTGATTTTAATTATTTTAGTTGATGACAAAAACATTCCTTCATGTAAAACATCCAGTTTGGACAAACTCACCAGTTTCCACCTCAACATCTTGATCCACTCATCTGCCTCCACACCCGTCTTAGCGCAAAGGTAAAATGTTCGATCTGGAAACACGAGACTGTGGACACAGAGAGCAGAAGGATGAGTTTTACAACATCCTGTATTCTGACGTTTGTGACTGTGTACGTGTGTGTGTGTGTGTGTTTGTGCATGTACATGTAAGAAAAAACATCCATCCATCTTCTTCTGTCTGTTGAGGGGTCCCATTCAACTGACTGACTCACTATCTTACAGTAAAAAAGACCTGTAGGGCCAGATTTACTACAATGGATGAACTAGGATGAAGTAAAAGACCAGGCACTTCATATAACTAATTCATTCACACATGCACTTTTTCTAAGCTGTTAAGCGCTTACTATCTAGCATTCATACACCAAACTGGAAGAGGATTGAACCACCAACCTTCCAGTTGGTAGCTGACCTGCTCCCCCACCTGAGCTACAGCCACACCAAATGTAAATACATTCATTCACAATGCAACCCAACAACAGCAGTGCAAGTCAGTGTAACGTTACAAACAAGCAGGCCTGCTGAAGGTATAAAAATGTGTAGCGATACAGTTGCAGCTTAAAACTTGTAACGTGCTTATTTTAAGTGTGATTGGTGCTGCTATTCTCCCCCTGAAGGGAGTATGTACTCAGCTGTGTCTGTTTGCAGGACTAGCATCCACAGTTTTCAAAATATGTTCAATTTTGTGTGGTGGTCGATACGAATAACAGTTCGAGCTGATTTAATTTTGGTGAAAAGTAAAAGTAAAGTCAAGTAAAAGTTAAGGTTCAGGGTTGTGCTCTATGAGTCTTGTAGTTTTTTTTTGTTGTTGTTTGTTTATTTTTTGCTAGAGCTGGAGCAGCACAAGCCACATATTTGGATCTGGATTTTTAAAGTTACAGTGCATCATTATTGCAACCTGTGTAACTATCCAGCTTCAAAAGGTACACTGAAATGATCGCATTCCATTCAGCCAAAGAAGTGTGTCTACTAAACAAATTAATGCAACAAATGTTTCAGGAAAATGGTCAAATTAATGGACCAAAGATGTGCTGTTGGCTTGCCCAATTATTTTTCCACAATGGCCTTTGTGGCAAACAAAGTTTTGCAGGGGGAAAACAGAGAGGTCTCACAGCTGCTGAGCACTTTGCAACAAATTTGTAATTTTTTTCATATCCATCATAAAATTTGGCTTGTAATGTTCAGGTTACTTTATTTGTCCCGATAGGCTGATTTGTTCTGCAGTCATGAGTCATCCATTCTCACATGCACACTGTCAGTACGACCATAACAGACAACAAATGAAGCTTATGCATAACTTCAATCATTTTGATTTCAGGAAGCATTATCTTTCGACCCCATCACAATCCCAAACCGTGAAGCTCTCCTGTGTAATAGCTGGAGTAAAAGTTCCTGCATTGCATTCTGTGAGGCCTGCAGTCTATTCTCCTCTCAGCAATTCTTGTTGCCAGCATTCAGCTTCAGTGCTGTGCAATCTTAAGAGTTGTTAAAAACCTGTCTGGAAGTTCTCATTATATATACCACCTTGGGAGCGCTGTCTCCTCAAACTGGCCTATGTTTTCATTGGCCGCTGCAAAATCGCTCTCTCCCTGGGCCACTCTTACTTCCACAACTTCAAATGCATCAAGTCCAATTTCAGTTACTAGAATTGCTACTGTTGTGATTTTTAGGGGAAAAAAGGTTCTCAAATCCTATGATTTACTATGCAACAGCATCACAAACAGCAGACAACAGGAAACAACAGCGAACAAGCTGTTAATCGTGACAAAGAAGACAAGGAGATCGAGGTTTTAAATACACACAAGATAATGAAGGAAGGGGGAACAAACACAGCTGAAACTAATAATGGTGGATGAGAGAGACGAAGTATAACTAAAAACAAAACACAAGTGTCAAAAACCACCCCAAAAAACATGGGAAGTAACATAAACATGAAAATATCTGACCCAGAGATGGGAACCTAATAAAGAATGGGGACAGAAAAGGGAACTAAGGTTATCTGTAACTAAAAAAAAAAGAGCTGAGGGGATAAAGAACAAAACAATAAGGAACCAATAAAAGGAGTGAAGGATTAACAGAAACTACAATTCAGTTCAATTCAGTTTTATTTGTGTAGTGCCAAATCACAACAACAGCTGCTTCAAGGAACTTTACATTCTAAGCGATTTGGCAATAGTGGGAAGAAAAACTCCCTTTTTTTTCTTTTCTTTTTTTTTTTTAAGTTTTTATTTTCATTTTTTAAATTGAAAACAAACAACAAACAAACAGAAACAAACAATAAAAGACATTCACAGTTATGGGACAGAGTAGGTATCATCAACTAGCCAAAGCTTGACTGGCCATTATGACCAAAAAAAAATAAAAAATTCTCAGGAACACACTCTAGTATCTTTATCTTTCAAACATAGCCTCAACCATCTGAGGACCGAGCACAGAAAATACGGGCGTATTAATAATAATAATAAAAATAATAATTATAATAGTAACAGTATTGGTAATTACAGAAATTTAAAACAAAACAAAATAAATAAATAAATAAATAAATAAAAAATAATAATAATAATTTTTAAAAAAGGAAGAAAAAAAAAAAGAAAAAAAGAAAAACATATCGTGTGAACCCCTCCCACCAACCCCCCACCCCTTTACCCCTGTATGGCTCTCAACTTTATCACATTCGTGTATCCAGACAGCCCATATTTACACCCATCTATACACAAGAATCAGCACAACATTTAAGAATTCTGATCAGAAGGGCCTAACCGATGATCAATTTAGGGTAAACCCAGAGGAATTTACGTCATCTCTATATTCTGTCAAGTCCAAAGACGGTAATACTGAAAGAAATGGTCCCCAAATTTTTTTAAAGGTTCGGTATTTCCCTTTTATACTATGTGAAATCTTCTCAGGTGTACAGTAGGATGCTAACTCATTAATCCAATATCTCAGTGTTGGAGAATTTTCAGATTTCCAATGTGTCAGAATACATTTTTTAACTGCAGTACTCGCAAGTAAAATAAAATATTTCTTGTGGTAATCCACATTTATGGAATCTATGTCACCTAAAATCCATAGTTTTGGGTCCATTTCGACTTGGATCCCAATTACCCTTGAAATTATTTCAGTAGTCCGTCTCCAGAACTCCTCTATTACTGGGCAATTCCACAGCATATGAAGGAGATCACCATCTATCACCTTACATCTCAAACATTTGGGAGAGTAATTAATATCAATTTTATGTAATCTGTAAGGTGTATAATATGTCCTATGGAATATATTAAATTGCATTTGTCTATGATTTGTAGAAATTAACATGGTCTGTGCCTGTTCCATTAGATGGTACCATTCTACCTCTTCATAAACATAGCCCAGATCTGCCTCCCATTTTCTTTTCAGAGACGTTTTGTTGCAGTCAGGTAATATTTCATTAATAATAGTGTATATTGAAGATGCCTTTTATTGACTTCCATGGTTTGGTGCAGAGATGTGTTTCAAAAGGACTTTCTTTAGGAATCTCAGGGAATGTTCCTTTGGTTTTTTCTTTGATCCAGTCTCTTATTTGTAGAAATTTTAAAAAAATTTGGTCTGGAAGTTTCAATTTTTCCTTTAGTTGTTGGAAGTCAATAAATGTATCATTATTATATAGATCGGCAACAATTCAAATATTTCTATCCTTCCATCCCCGCAATATGGAATCGGAAATATGATGGGAGAGATTAGGATTGCCCCATAGGGGTGTCCTTCTAAGAAAAGAAATATTTATTTTTAGAAGTGAGTGGGATTCCTGCCAGGCACGGAAGGTGTTTAATATCATCGAATTATTTGCGAGCTTAGATAAACATTTTTTCGTACCTAGAAATGGGACGTCTTTTAATGATATGGGATTCACCTCATATTGTTCTATTGGAACCCATCGAACCTCACTCCTCTCTGCATATAACCAGATCAAAATTGATCGGTATTGGGAGGCCAGATAATAATTCCTAAAGTTTGGTAGGTTGAGTCCTCCCCTTGAATAAGGGGCCTGTAATGAGGAGAGTTTAACTCTTGGGTTTTTCTTTTGCCATATGAAGGAGGTTATAAGTTTATTTAATTCTTTGAAGAAACTTTTAGGAACATTTATAGGGAGACACTGAAATAAATAGGTAAACTTAGGCAAAATGTTCATTTTAACAACATTAATTCTCCCTATGAGGGATAATGGCAAATCCATCCATCTCAGTATATTAAGTTTAGTTTGCTCCAGCAGTTTAATATAATTTAGTTTGAATATTTTATCCTCAGATTTACCAATTTGTATGCCCAAATATGTAAATCCATTATTACACCACTGTAGTGGATCTGTAAGAGCTCTAACACGATTATCTTGTATATTTAATGACATAATTTCACTTTTGGTATAATTTAACTTGTATCCTGAAGCCGCACTATATTCTTTAAGACTATTCATTAATGAGGGAATTGACTTGAGAGGGTCCGTTATATATAGTAGGAGGTCATCTGCATATAGGGAAAGTTTATGTTCACTTGTACCGAATTTGATTCCAGATATAGCAACATTAGTACGAATGGCCACTGCTAGTGGCTCGATCGCAATTGCAAAGAGCAAGGGAGAACTTGGACAGCCTTGTCTACAGCCTCTGGTTAGGGAGAAAGTGTCAGAAAGCACATTATTTGTTATAATATTGGCTTTGGGGGTGTTAAAAAGTACCTTAACATAGCGGGTGATCTTTTCTCCGAAGCCCATGGCTTCCATTGTCTGAAATAAAAAGTTTGGTTCAATCCTGTCAAATGCTTTATTAGCGTCCATGGAAATTATTAGCAATGGTTCTTGATTTTTTTGAGCAGCATTCATTATGTGGAGCAGGCGCCGCACATTATCTGCTCCCTGTCTGTTTTTAATGAAGCCTGTTTGATCGGCATTTATTATCTTAGGCATAATGTCTTCCAATCTATGTGCAATTATTTTAGATAATATTTTATAATCTGCGTTTAAAAGGCTAAGTGGTCTATAAGAGTCACATCTCTGTTTGTCCTTGCCCGGCTTTGGCA